TATAGAATAACTTTTCGATTTGCTTCTAGAAGATATCGATCGGTTTACAATTTGTTTTTGTTGGCAATAGCCGATTCGCGATTTCTTTTGGTATCCTACAATATTATTAAACCAAATTGCACGAACGACTATAATAAATATATAAAATGGTAAATAGGACCGGTCAGTACCTCTCATGTTACGCCATTATGAGAAGAACTAAAAAATGGTGGAAGAGAGTGGTCTCGTTTCTATTTAAGAAATACTAGACATGTAAATAAATAACGCTGTAAAATTTGATCAAAAATAGCGTTGATTTAGTAAAACTGCAATCATACATACATACATATGTGCCCATGTAGTTTTGAATGACTATCTTGACAACGGGTCGGCCCCACGTTACGGTTCACTCAAAACCGCTTCGTCCGTAAAGGGTTAATTGCTAGTTTTAACATCTGAACAAATTAAAATGTAAAATACCATGTAGAAAGTTAACACGATTTAATTTGCGAGATGCAGCTTTATACAGGATGGGGTAGTAACTTTGATCACATTGAATACCCCCCTTATTTTTAGAAATACGGAACAACTTTGTTAAAATATGAAGATGACCTTAAAATCTTCAAAATCTCTCAGCATGTAAAAAAGTTATGTCTGCCACATTATATCTCCCGTCAAACCATGCAACTTTTGTTAACAAAATTTGTCTATATGTCTAAAAATAACGGAAATATACAAGGTGATCAAAGTTATTGCTTCATGGGAGAACATTTTGAACGATATATCGGTTAAAATAAACTGTATCTCAATTAATGTTAGTGATATCGTTTAGGATTCTCAACAATAATTTAATACAGATAAATAATGATAATAAGCGGTGCTTGGTATAGTTTCCTCTTTAAAAATATTTGTAATAGCTATCTATAGTGTAACCGAAAACGTCTTTCGTTAGTGCATTTTAATTTTCGAATGCACTTTTTTCAAAAATTTGTCCGTTCTGTTTTAAGGTGTAAATCTTTTTAATCATATTTGCACTGCTAATTTTAATCTAGCCTATGTACAATATATAAATTTATCTGTAATATGGTCAAACTCTTATCTAAACATTTCTTTTGTAAAATTAAAGGAAAACGCTGAAACTTTATGCTACAAAATTCTTTCTTCTTAACCCATTAACTACCAAATTTCTTTTTTTTGTAATTTTTGGCCGGATAAGTTATATATATGCACAAAAGGTTGTGTAACGGTATAATTATATTCAAATTATGTTTTGTTTTGAAAATATTTGATATTTTTGAAAAAATCCCAAAATGGGTATCGTTATAAAATGATCAATAAAATCATTTCAATGAAAAACAAAAGACTGAGTAAGTAACAAATCGTTACTATAATCTCTAAATTACATATTTATGTACGGTATTTCATTATAATATAAAAACCAAACCAAAAATATAATGCTTCAAATATGACAATTCAGTTCCGTTCAACTTACACACGAATTTCAAATTTGTTCGCTTGTTGTATAGAAACGAAGCACAAAATACACACTTTTTGCTACACACAATATTGACTGATATATATAGAATAAAACTAAACTGTCAGGCATACCAAATATATTTTTGGCTTTGAGTAGTGTACGTAAAATTTCAAAATCCCCAAATGGGGATCGTGACATCTAATGGGTTAAGCTAAGAATAATTGATAAATGCATTTATATACAAAAGACCTCTTCAAGTTTCAAAAGTATCATACTACTCATATCATTGTCACATCATATTGCTCAAGAAATATTATACAATTCGCATTTCAAATATATCATGTTACTAATAATTTTACCACACACTTGGACTTATCATTAGGTCTCATGTCAGACATTTGAATTTTATAATACATGTATACTGTATAAAAATTCATCTCTTATGCATTCTTTTAAATGTTCAACAATTTGTCGAGAATATAAAATTCATCGTTGTTCGTTATATTATACTTTATTTTGTATTTAGAAAATGGAAAGAATTTGTTTCCGAATGAAATGAAATAAAACTATTTAATTTTAGGATGGCATATGGGAACGAGTCTGGTTTAGTGATAATAGACATTGTGCAGAAGATTTCTTTGATTGTGTTGAGTACCGGGGACATCGGTGGTAACTCGGACCCCTGTCAACGAGTGTTACGCAGTCCTAAACGCCAGGATGAATTGAAACGAGAAAACGAAGACAAAGCGAGGAGTCCAAGCACAGATCAGGTAAAATGTATTTCTTTCTTAGTTAAAACTGTTTTGAATATTTTAATTGTTATCCTTCTCATTTTCCTTAACCTTATCCAACGGAACATCTTGAAAATTTGATACTTAAATATATGCATTTCGCTTTTTCTAGATTCTAAAACTAATAATCTCCATTATTGCATGATTGTAAGAGGAACATTATTTGAATGTTCGATTTATTAATGAATTTGTAATTATCAATTTTGTTTCTTTTGTAAATACTAAAAACTTCAGTTCTCAATAACATCGTGACACTTCAGCTTTGATACGAGTATTAAAAGTAGAATTTATCGACTAGTCGTAGATTATATAATACAGTGTTCTCGAGAATAGCTTTCCAGTAACATTATTGCAAAAGACAACGTCGATAGTGTCGTTTGATATTCTCAAAACTCATAACAGAAAAGTGAAAACCTACTACCATAAAATATTTGATTCGTTGCAAGCAACTAGCATATTTGACTATTTAACGATACTTGTTACTTTTTATTTTATTCGTACCGTTTTACATATCTTATAAAATAGAAGTAATGAATTAAACAGCTTCCAGTAAAAATGATAACTAACAACACGCCAAACACCCAACGGTAAACCATATAACTACTCAATCGAATAAAAATAACGTAGACGATATCCAAATTCATACTCGTGTTCATGTTCCAGACACGAAAAATATATGATTTACATAAAGCCAAATATCAGATATCGAATAGCTAAATTAAAAATTTAAGCTTCGCTGTGCATTTTATTTTCTTGCACTCATGATTATCATGCGTTATTTTAATTCATGAAATGCTTTTGACTAACCTATCGTTTAGATAGAAACTCTAATATTTAAGTAAGTATATAATTATTATATTATTTTCGTAAATTCCAAGCAGAAAATTTACAACTTATAAGCCTTTTGCTAGATATTCTTTAAAAATTTTGCTTTCTATGTATTCTTGTGGGAAATGTTCGTTCCGTACTCATGCATTGGAATGAAACTTCGTAGGTAGAGAGAATCGAAAAATATTTGATCCTTGCTCGGCTCTTGCATGAATACCGAAGGATTTACGAAGTAGGTATTTAACGGTTAAAATCCGTATTTTATGCCGTAATCGATTAAATATTTGCAACCTTATACGCCTTTCAAACAAAAATTAGCAGCAAATGCATAGATTTCTGGCTGTATCATCTAAATATTGGCATTGGCGATATACATTCACATTTTTTTCTTTATACTATTTTTCTCTGTTGTTGTTTAAAGAACGATATTTCCAAAAAGATGTATCTTAAATCAGAAAAAGCGGCATCTGCTTCGAAGCGCCACATTTCTTGAGTTAGAAACTGTAAAAGTATTATAGACCAGATTTCGTAATAAGTATAATATTTACTACTCTTTACAATAAATCAAAGTTCTAATTTATACGAACACTAAATGAATATGAAAAATTATAATTGTCTTGAAATGAATAAGTAAAGTTTTTATGTTTATACGTTACGTGACAGATTACTTTAATAAAAACATTTTTGATATCAATATTTCAACGCGATGCTTCCAATAATAATTAATTAAATTACATTATTCGTATATATTTAACTTGTGTTTCTAGTAATACACATACATAATCATAATTAAAATTTTTTAAAATATTTTTACCATCGGTTTCAAGACTTTAAGATCTTTCGAGGTACAGTAGAATCTTCGCTTATTATCTAAATATTCTATTATCAGAAAGATTATGTTAACCTTCGTTGGAATTATTCATACTAAAAGCGTGCAATGGTATTAAAGCGGAAATGTATCGTATTACCTCTTTAAATGAATCATGAGAGTTGAAACCATTCATAATTTACGGAATTTATATATTAGGAAAAGCAGTTTTATACCGTCCGAAATTTTAAACCGACATTTATGCAAATTAAATTATATTAAAAAGTTGAAATTTTAAAGTTACAATTTCATAAAATATTGCAATATTATATAAAAGATATAGAAGATGTGAAATATACATGTAATTACTTAAAACATAAAATATTTCAATGAAATTATTGCGTTCCGAATATTTAATGAATGAAAAATGAGTTTCGAAGTTTCGAAAATAAAATAAGGTGGGTAAAATTACAAGACAGTTTAATGAATAACAAAGAATTCGTAGAACATTCGATATAAACATATCTTTCATGATGGTAATAAAAGCATCTGAACGTATGAATTGTTTTTGTATTAATTTGTGTTAAGACTGAACTTCCGCAAAGCAACCTGTTTGGCGCGAAATTTGAATAGGCGTAGTGGAAAGACGGGATAGATCCACAATATAAAATTTTTATTTTTGATATTTATTAATTTCTGTAATATTGATAACTGTTATATATTTGCGGTTCTATATATCGAATTCTACCTATATTGACGTTAATAATACAACCGGCTTTGCTGCAGTATTAGTCATTGTCGATTGTCAAAGTAGTCAATGACTCAATAACGATAGCTTTGCTTTAGGAGTGTATAATATCTTATACTATTATTAGGTCTTATAGATATACATATATGCACAGAATTCAATGTATAGTACTGAAAATTTTCTTTATTAATATCTCGGAAATTATTTTTCAAATTTAGTATGCCAAAAAAAGGAAATAAATAAATAAATAAATAAAAAAAATAGTTGAAAAGATTAGATTTTGAAAATTTTGATACGGACGATAGAGACACACGTGCTGAAGGTACCCACGAAATTTAGTTGTAATTAGTCAAGTAGAACTTGAGATATAGTGACAACCATTTGGAAAAATATGGTTTCGAGAAAGACGCATTTAAAGTAAATATTTCATACGAATATGTATATGCATCGCATGCCATGAACAAAGGTTAATAACTTTATTAATTTTTCAAGTCCAACAATATCCACTGGTAGAAATATTTTCAAAGAGATATACTTCCAGAAAATGAAATTAAAAAGAATTAATTTTTTAAAAACTCTAAACTCCCTTAATAAATGCTCAAAGTTATAATTTCATATTTTGAGTAGTCCGTTCTTTCTCTTTATCTTAAATTTTATCTGTATCAACTACTTATATCTTTCTAAAGAATACTCCGTGTTAATAGTTAATTAAACTACTCTTGACTATTAATATTCGAATACTTTTATCGACTTTCCTAAATGATAGATTCTGTGTTCTACGAATTCTGCATTTGTCGTTGAATTTCGTTACAATTTTACCCATAGATTTCTAAAATTTTGTATATTATTTTTGAAGTTTGTACCCAATAATTGCATTTTGTTTGTTAAAAGTTTAGGACGCAATCTGCTTAAATACTTTCGTGAACAATTCCAAGTAATTAAGAATCTATTATATTTATAGTTATTGCTAATGATTTTAAACTGCTAATATTTTAGAATATGTAATACTCAATTCTGAAGACACGTCAACTAAATAATTCGTATAAGGAAGATTCTACTGTATTAAGTTTAATCCTTTGCATTCCTTTGTCGAATGTGACTCGACATCAGTTTTTATCACAGGAACTCCTATATCGAGTTACACTCGACGTTTTTTGAGTCTTTATTTAATGAACAAGAAAACAGAAAATAAGCATCTACTTGAACTACCTAATACCTAAATTCAAAATATAGATTACAACAATGAGAGCTATATTTAATATAATTAGTAAACAAAAGTCTTTAAAATAAGTAGCAGTCGAGTAAGTCCTGTGATGTAAATTTCAAACAAAATACGTAAAATAGTAGGGAGTTAACACTGATTGCCACGTTGGTTATATGACTGACCACGGTTTCTCCTGTAACGCCATGGTGGTCATTGGTGACCGGAGCGCTTGAACTTTTTAACCACTTGCGCTAAAAAGACGTGCCATGCACGTCAAGATGCTTTTGTTCCAAAATCGCCAGCGACGTGTACACCACGTCGATAGGCATTTATCGTAGAAATAAAAATGACGTGGGCTGCACGTCGGCTAACAACCAAATCGTTCATTTCTCGAGCTACAGTTGCAGAGTGCACGGCATCGCATAGTGTCATCGATATCTTGGAAATATTTCAAAATCGATACAGTATCTCGCGGCGCCAATGTGACACCTTACGCGTGTTATACTGTAGCCCACGGTACCGCAACCGTGAGTTTATTGGTAGCGCAAGTGGTTAAATTACATTGTACTACATTGAATGAAAATTGACAGTGCATTTTGAATATAACCGCTAATTAGAAGATACTCTGAAATAAAAAATGCCTCATTGAACAATTAAAAATTTTTATTAGAACATCAAGAACATATTAGAACAAATCTTGTAACTAGCGGTGCACTCCTATGGCGTCCAGAGGGAAACATGTGATTTCGGCGTGGTAGTCAAAGGGTTAATTGAAAAATAATTCGGACTGCAAAGGGTTAAGTGAAAATTAGAAGCAAGCACAAAAGCACTTTTTCTTTGAAATTATACATCATTATATATTGGTTTTCTAAAATATTAATCGAACTTAATAAACATACAGTGAAATCTAATTATTTACTGTAATATCTTCTAAATCATTCAGTGATATGTAAACGGACAATTTGCATTAAATGTTTCGTAATTCTTATTACCTATTTTATGTCCAATATCGATAGAAAGCATCAAGTAAACTTCGAAATATTCTGCAAGTTTTAAACACTTCTATCAAATTCTTAATCTAGACTTTTCAACGATTCGCGATGAAATTCTTACAGTTGACTCGAATTCTGAAATTCGAATTTTATGAATTTTAGAAGATAAACGGAATAAAAGTAGTCGAGCAAAATAAAATTCGAAATATATGTATTTTCTGCTTGGAATCATAGATGTAAAAAGTTTATCAGAACAGGTAGTATTTAGACACGAATTACGCAATTATAAGTAACAAACGAGAATGTTATCGGCAACTAGTGGTCAAACTTGTCATTTTCCATGTGCCGAGAATTGAAGTTTAGTCGTAACAGATTTATGTAAGTCACTTTTATCAGGAA